GAAATGTGAAACAAAATATCGTCTGAATGACTTCAAAACAATGTTTTCCAAAATGAAATACTGAAAGGGAAGATATTTAAAATTAAATGCTCAAAAAGACTTGTTTTTTCATATAACATTAGTAGCCATGCTACCCCGGGACTCGTCTGGCCCTTGATGGTGTGGCGGTCCAGTTCCTGAGAAATTCTCCTTTCTCCACGGTATGAATGGTAAGGCCTTCTTCCTCCTCCTCCTCAACTATCACATTGCAATCCATATCCTCGTCCTCAAGAAACAAGTTCCTTAGCCCAACCAAAGCTTCTTCCTCCGCAGATCCCCATATTGTATTGGCCTGATGAAAGGTCTGACTCAGGTACGGCACTGGTTGCTCAAGAGGGTAATAGGGACCATGCCATAGCGGCGACCAATCATTATATTCTTGCCATGTGTATGTATATCCAAGCCCAAAAGTTGTGCCGTGACGTTTCAACTGTACTGGTTTGGTAATGCCATAGAGTTTCTTCCCAAGCCCTTTGTCGGGTTCATACCCTGACCATGCCAGTATGCTTTCTATCTTGATACTCCACCATTTATCTTTCTCAATTGCATTAACATGCTCGATGCGGTGATAAAATTCTCCACCCAGCTTTCTTCTATTCTCGACAACTGGGACAGTTTGACTGGTGTAAATGGGATTACTTCCATCTCCGTGAATGATTACCTCCTGATGGTTCCATTCGAACTTCACGTCCTAGTGTAGCGTAGAAGCCACAGCTCCAGCGGCATGTATCCAAGGTCGTCCCAGTAGAAGATTATACGTAGCAGATATGTCCAATACCTGAAACTCAACATCAAACCAAGTCGGTCCCATCTGCAAACAAAGGTTAATTTCCCCAATTGTGACCCTTTGAGACCCGTCAAATGCCTTCACATTCATACTCCCTGCTCGTATCTCATGAAAATCTTTGCCCAACCTTTTCAGAGTAGTCAATGGACAAATGTTGAGGCTTGAGCCCCCATCTATTAAGACTCCGGCGATGAATTTGTCCTCAAATTGTATTGTGATGTGTAGTTCCCTGTTGTGACTTAATCATTCAGGTGGTAGTTCATCTTCGTGGAAGGTGATCTTGTGGCTTTCCAGTACTTGCCCCACCATGTTGGCCATCTCTCCACTGGTGATGTTGTTGGGCACATAAGCTTCATTCAACACCTTCATCAGGGCGTTCCTATGCGCCTCAAAGTTTTGCAGCAGTGACATGATGGATATCTGAGCGGGAGTCTTGTTCAGATGATCAACGACAGAGTATTCTCTTGCTTGTACTTTTCTCCAGAGATCATCTGGACCAGTTTCAATAACGGGTTATTTGGTAGCAGCTTTCTTGCTTGTTCCTCCCAAATTCTTGGGTGTATAGATCCTTCCAGTTCTGGTCATCGCCTGTGCAGTACCAGACTCTTCTATTTTTGGTTTTCTTTTTCTCCTAGCTTCGGCAACATAATCCCAAGGTATGGTGTTAGACTTGAAAGGTGGTATGGGTGCCACCGTCACAGTGAAGGGTGTGGCTACTTCTACTTCAAATGGACTAGGTGTAGCTGCAGATGCGGTTACTTCAATTTCAAACGGGACTGATGTGGCTCCTTCAACTTCGATTGGTGGCTGTATCTTTATTACAATAGGTGTGAGTGTGACTGCAGGTTTAGGCTCATCACCTTCTCAAATAAGCCCAATTAACCCTTTAGGATCACATTCTTCATCACTTTCTATTACATTCACTCCTTCACCCCTATGATCTGGGATGGGATTGTTGCGGATATTTAGTGTGGCTTCCTTTGCATGTATAACTTTGGTATCAATTCGGGTTTGAATCTTGTCTTTCAAAGTGCGGCATTCATCAATAGTATGCCTTTTCATGCCAGAATGGTATACACATGTTTTGTTTGGGTTGACCCACTGGGAGGAGTTTTCCATGGCAACAGCAGGAATAAGGGGAACATATCCGAAAGCCTTCAATCTTTCATATAGTTGGTCAATGGGCTCAGGGATACGGGCGTATTGTCTGGGCGGCATGCAATCAAAATTGGATCTGGGTTTTTGATAGTTTTGACGGGTTGGATGTAACACCCAGTAAATTTGAATCGGTTGTGGATGCATTAAATGAGTATTTACGTGATGGTAATCAATTGGTTATGATAATAAGTGTACTAGGAATATCATAAGTGATTTGGGGTCCAAGGAGAGACCTAAGTCTAAGCTAAGTTGGAAAATTACTTGATAGACTAAAATTCCAAATGAGTACGCAGAAAACCACACTTTGGACGAGCATATCTACAGATATATAAGGCCTTAGGTGTGCACAGCCTATCAAATGAAAGGTCTTTGAATTTAGTTTCTAAATCTTCAAACCGTTCATCATTTAGACTTTCCTACAAGAAGTTATGACCAAATTACCAAAGGCTGGCAGAGGACTGCGCGGATGCGAAGCATCCGAGGCTGCATCCAAAAAGAGGCGCTGGCAGTGAAGTACTGCCATAGCATCCGTGTAGCGTCCGAGCTCCTGAGCGGAGGACTGCTGGGATGCGAAGCATCCACGTCCGTGTCCGAAATTTGGGCTTATAAACACAATTTCGAGATTTATTTTCCCATTCTATTTGGACGACCCTTGGGGTTCTTCTTCACCCACTCAAGAGCACCAACTCCTACCCTCTTTAAGGTAAGCAATCCCCATTATCTTGGTGTGAAATTCCATAATTTCTACACTAGTATTGATGAAATCTACACATAAAATACGTAGATCTTCAAGAGATTTCTTCAAGAACTCAAAGGAGGATTTTGGAGATTTCTTCCAAAAAGGTAATCCTACACCCTTAGAATTACATGTATGGATTTATTAAGGGAATATGAGTATGAATAAGTAATAGAACTCCAGGGATGGTGATTGGATGCCATAAATTCCCAATTTAATTACATAACTATTATAGAGATAGAATAGATGATTTTCTAATGGAACTTTGTTGGTTGGGTGTGGATGGATGGTCACATATGTGATGTTGGAAGTTATAAATTGGTTAATCATGATGGGGGATAAATTTTTGATGAATGGTGGTAGTTGGATGAACTAAATATTTGGTGATGGGATGTAGAGATTTATGCCTACAAGATGTTTGATAATATGCCTAAATGGCTTAAGTTATGGAATTTGTTACTAATATTGGTTCCATTGAATGTTGCTATTGTAGATTGAAGGTTCTTAGTGTTGTGGATCATTGTAGTATCACTAAGGGGCGAAATTGAGGTATGTGAGGCTAATTCTTTACGTTTGGGAATGTCTATGATTCTCCCTACGTCCCATTCATTATGACTATTACTAGTTTCCTCAGAAAGTAATTATGCCTAGTTCCATGAATAGTAATAGAACTTCTATTCTCTAGATGGCATAGTTTCATAATCATTCGATATTCTATGAGTTTCAGTTATGACAAATAAACTTATTATGAATACACATCTCATTTTAGTCCTATTCATTATTCCAATATCATGTAACTCGGTATGGTTTATTATTTCAGTATCATGTATTGCATTATGATTCTCGGTTCCTAATTCTAAACTCTTGAATGTTGAACACCTGTATTTGGGCCTGAGGCCGTAGTTTATGCTTTATGCATCATTGGGTCTGAGGCCGTAGTTATGTATACGTATACTTGGGCCCGAGGTTGTAGCTTGTGCACACACACACACACACACACACATATATATATATATATATATATATATATATATATATATATATATATATATATATATATATTGGGCCTGAGGCCGTAGTTTATCAAATAAATAGGTTGTTCATCATTCAGAAGAGGGAGTATTCATAACCTTACTTCACATATTATGTTCAGTTATCAGTTATCAGTTATCAATTATCAGTTTCAGTTTCAGTATTTACCGTTCTTTCCTTTAGTTGTTTTACATACCAGTGCAATTCAAATGTACTGATATCCTTTTTTGCCCGGGGTCTGCATCTTGCGATGCAAGTAACGATTTACAGGTTGACGACTCTGCTTGCTAGGACATCTCGTATCAGCTATTGGTGAGCCCCAGTCTTTCGGGGCACTATCCCTCCCTTTTTTAGTCATTATAGTATTTCAGTTAATAAGGTATACCGGGGACCTTGTCTCGGTAAACAGTTAGCATTTCAGTATTCATTAGAGGCTTCGTAGACTATAGTTCAGTCAGTCAAATGTTAGCAGGCTTTTATGTGTTAGACTTGTCGGCTACTCATTTATACTTGCAAACTTTTCAGTATTTTCGCATGTATGATATTTCAATCAGACTCTTTAACAGATCATCATGTTGTATATTTACATCTAGCTTATAGTTATACCACATGTTGATCCATTCATATAGTTGGTTCGCTTGGTCACATGTAGTCAGGCACTGATTGTCGTGTTACACCCAGGCCATGGTTCGGGGCATGACAAAGCTTGGTATCAGAGCCTAGGTTCAAGAGTCCTAGGTAGTCTATGAAGCCGTGTCCAGTGGGGTCACTTTTATGTGTGTGCGCATGCCACACTTGTAAACAATTGACCACCAATACATCTAGGATTGTTCCATTTCTTTCGTAATCTAGATCGTGCAGTTAGAGCTATGCTTTTCGGAATCTTTCTAACTCGTGGGAATTGCGTATTTCAGAAAAATGCCTGCAAAAAGAAAGTACACCAGGAGGGCCTCAACTACTAGCCAGGGGGCTACGACTAATGCTGCTCAAGAGAAGGATACTCTGGCCCAGGAGGTTGCATCAGTCTCAGTGCCTAGTGCTTCAGATATGGATGTCAGGGGAGCTATCCGGTTGCTCACCCAGATTGTTGCTACTCAGGCTCAAAGGCAGGCAACAAGTGTTGTTCATGAGGCGGGTAGCTCCAGGTCCAGGGAATTCCTCAACATGAAACCTCCAGTCTTCACAGGGTTAAAAAAGGATGAGGATCCACAAAACTTCATTGATGAGGTTCAGTAGATATTTTGAGTGATGCATGCTACAGACACTGAGGCAACAGAGCTTGCTGCGTACCAGCTGAAGGATGTTGCCAACAATTGGTATGAAACATGGGAAGAGTCCCGAGGGGAGGATGCAACTTCTGCAACTTGGAAGGAGTTTGCAGATGCATTTCTTGAGCATTTTCTACCCATTGAGGTCTTGGAAGCTAAGGCTTTGGAGTTTGTGAGACTCAAACAGAATGATATGAGTGTGAATGAGTACTACCTCAAGTTCATCTCTCTGGCTAAGTATCCTCCGGAAATGGTACATGATATGAGGGCCAGAGTTAGGCGGTTTGTTTTGGGGCTTTCAGATGTTTGTTTGCTGATGCTAATATAGCTGCTCAGAATAATTACATGACCATCACTAAGATGGTTGCCTTTGTTCAAGGGAACGAAAACAGGTTGAAGGAAGAAGAGCGGCTATAGAGAGAGAAGGATAGGGAATTCAGCAAGAGAGCGAAGTCTGCAGGAAATTTTAGCCATGGGGGATCTCAAGCAAGAGGCAATCGCCAGTTCTTCAGGAAATCAAATCAGGACCTGCTCCATCTTCAGCTAGTGCACCAGTGCAGAGGTCCAAGTTTAACAAGAAAAACCAAAATTTTAGAGCGACAGGCTCACAGTCACAGACTAGTGTGGGCTACAGAGGCCTTGAGTATCCTACTTGTAACACGTGTGGTAAGAAGCATCCAGGGGTGTGTCATTTGGGCACAAATGGTTGCTTTGGGTGCGTTCAGCAGGGCCACTTCTTGAGGGATTGTCCATCAACAAAGCAGAACAATGTAGGCAATGTAGCTCAGTCCACTAATTCAGCAGCCCCTCATAATCTCAGGCCCAACAAGGGCATGGTGCAGCAAAGTCTAGTAATGCTGGCGGTAATCGAAACTGCTTGTATGCCCTGGCAGACTGTTAGGATATGGAGGCTCGGGGAGATGTTGTCACAGGTATGCTAATGATATTCACTTTTGAGTTCTATGCTCTTATAGATCCGGGATCCACCCTATCTTATGTAACTCCATATGTTGCTAAGAAATTTGGGATAGAACCAGAAAAGTTGTGTGAACCTTTTGAAGTATCGACTCCAGTTGGAGAATCAGTTATAGCAAGTTGTATCTATAGGGGATGTCCAGTCAAAGTGTATCATCGTCTTACTGTAGCAGACACAGTAGGATTGGAGATGGTAGAATTCGATGTGATCATGGGCATGGATTGGCTAGAGTCTTGTTATGCCACAGTGGGTTGTAGAACCAAAATAGTAAGTTTTGAATTTCCCGGTGAACTAGTCCTAGAATGGAAAGGTGATGCAGTAACACCTAGGGGTAGGTTTATTTCCCATCTTAAAGCTAGAAAGATGATCTCCAAAGGGTATATCTATCACCTGGTTCGAGTTAAGGATGCAGATGCTCAGATTCCCACTCTCTAGTCGGTACCAATTGTAAATGAGTTCCCATAAGTGTTTCCCGAAGATCTTCCCGGAGTCCCTCCCGATAGAGAGATTGACTTTGGAATTGATCTACTCCCCGGCACTAATCCTATATCTATTCCACCTTATAGAATGGCTCCAGCAGAGTTGAAAGAGCTAAAAGTCCAGTTGAAAGATCTTCTAGATAAGGGATTCATAAGGCCAAGTGTCTCAGCTTGGCGCAACGGTCTTGTTTGTCTGAAAGAAGGATGGGTCTTTGTGCATGTGCATTGACTATCGTTAGTTTAATAAAGTCACCATCAAGAACAGGTACCCTCTTCCCAGAATAGATGATTTATTTAATCAACTTCAGGGTGCCCAGTGTTATTCTAAGATTGAGCTCAGATCGGGATACCATCAGTTGAAGGTTAAGGAAGTCAATATTCTAAAAACAGCTTTCAGGACTCGGTATGGGCATTTCAAATTTTTGGTAATGTCATTTGGTTTAACAAATGCATCAGCAGCTTTCATGGACCTTATGAATAGGGTCTTCAAACCCTATCTTAATTTGTTCGTTATTGTTTTTATTGATGACTTCTTGATTTATTCCCGTAGCGAGACTGACCATGCAGAACATCTCAGAATTGTGTTGCAGACACTGCAGGATCACAAGCTATATGCAAAATTTTCTAAGTGTGAATTCTGGTTGAAATCAGTAGCATTTTTGGGCCACGTCATCTCAGGGGAAGGCGTGAAGGTAGACCTTCAGAAAATAGAGGTAGTGAAGAATTGGCCTAGACCCACCTCAGTATCTGATATAAGAAGTTTCTTGGGTCTATCAGGCTATTATTGGCGTTTCATAGAGGGATTTTCGTCTATCTCGTCCCCTTTGACTAGAATAACTCAGAAGAAAGTCAAGTTTCAATGGTTGGACGCTTGCGAGAAAAGTTTCGAGGAGTTAAAGAAGAGGTTGACTTCAGCTCTAGTCTTAACACTACCGGGAGGAACCGAAGGGTTAGTTGTTTATTATGATGCTTCAGGGGTTGGTCTTGGGTGTGTATTAATGCATCATGGTAAAGTCATAGCCTACGCATCGAGACAACTCAAGGCTCACGAGAAGAATTATCCGACTCATGATATTGAATTAGCATTTGTGGTGTTTGCGCTTAAGATCTAGCGCCGTTATTTGTATGGGGTGCATGTTGACATTTTTACAGATCACAAGAGCCTCAATACATCTTCAAGAAAAGAGAATTGAATCTATGTTAGAGGAGGTGGCTCGAATTACTTAAAGATTATGATGTTGATATCCTCTATCATCCGAGGAAGGCCAATGTTGTAGCCGATGCTCTCAGTCGGTGTTCTATGGGAAGCTTAGCTCAAGTTGAGGCAGACAAGCAAACTATGATGAAGGAAGTCCACCGCTTAGCAAGTATAGGAGTTCGATGTTTGGACTCCGAAGATGGTGGCGTCGTTCTTCAGAACAGGGTTGAATCTTCCTTAGTAGCCGAAGTGAAGGAAAAGCAGTTCAGTGATCCCTACTTATTGCAGCTGAAGGAGGGAACTCACAAACACAAGACTACGGCTTTTGAACAAGGGGGAGATGATGGTACTTTGAGGTACAGAGCCAGACTATGCGCTCCAGACGTAGATGGGCTCAGAGAGCGGATTATGTCAGAAGCCTACAATTCCAGGTATTCTATTCACCCAAGTTCCACAAAGATGTATCATGATCTTAAGGAGATTTATTGGTGGAACGATATGAAAAAGAACATAGCATATTTTGTGGCTAAGTGTCCAAACTGTCAGCAGGTGAAAGTCGAACACCAGAGGCCTGGTGGTTTAACTCAGAGTATAGAAATTCCCATTTGGAAATGGGAGACGATAAACATGGACTTCATAACAGGTCTACCTCGCTCATTTCGGAAGCATGATTCGATTTGGGTGATTGTAGACCGACTTACCAAGTCAGCTCACTTCTTGCAGTGAAGACTACGGATTCGGCCGAGGATTATGCCAAGTTGTATATCCAAGAAACTGTCCAATTGTATGGGACTCCTTTGTCCATCATCTCAGATCGTGGTGCTCAGTTCACAGCAAACTTTTGGAAATCCATTCAGAAGGGATGGGCACAAAGGTGAACCTCAGCACCGCTTTTCATCCTCAGACAGATGGCCAGGCGGAACGCACCATTCAGACTCTTGAGGATATGTTAAGGGCGTGTGTTATCGATTTTAAGGATAATTGGGATGATCATCTACCCCTCATTGAGTTTGCTTATAATAACAGCTATCACTCTAGTGTAAAGACGGCACCGTACGAAGCTCTGTATGGGTGAAGGTGTAGATCACCAATTGGTTGGTTTGAAGTTGGCGAAGCGGAGTTATTAGGACCTGATTTGGTTTATCAGGCGATGGAGAAAGTCAAGTTGATTCAAAAGCATTTGAAGACGGCTCAGAGTCGCCAAAAGTCTTATTCGGACGTGCGGCATAGAGACTTAGAGTTTCAAGTGGATGATTTGGTGATTTTGAAAGTTTCGCCTATGAAAGGCTTTATGAGATTTGGGAAGAAGGGTAAGCTTAGTCCCCACTATATTGTGCCATAGAGAATCCTGCGAAGGATCGGGCAGGTGGCTTATGAGTTAGAATTGCCACAAGAATTTGTTGTTGTACACCCAGTGTTTCACGTGTCTATGTTAAAGAAATTCATGGGAGACCCTTCTCCTGTGGTTCCTACGGAGACTATAGGGGTTAAAGACAACCTGACTTACGAAGAAATTCCAGTGGCTATCCTTGATCGTCAAATCCGCAAGCTCAGAACTAAGGAAATTGCTTCAGTGAAAGTGCTTTGGAGGAATCAAAAGGTTGAAGAGGCTACGTGGGAAGCCGAAGAAGACATGAAGTCCAGATATCCCCATCTCTTTGAAGAGAAAGCAGAGAATCTAGACGGTTGTACACGGTAAAAATCAGAGGGCTCAATTTTGTGATCACTAGAGTGCCTCAGGGAGACCACCCCCGGAAGGCTCGAAGTCTAGCTTGGATTTCGCCCCCAAGGGTTCATAATGATCGAGATCGAGGCAGTGCTAACCAACGGCCACGACGCACAAGCGGGAAGTTCCCAAGGCACATGATTAAAAGCTGGCCTAGCCTACTGGGCTAGTTTTGGCCCGCACTGTAGCGTTAAATGGTTGTGCCAACTTCTTGTCTTTTCAATAAATGCATCTTGTACCATGTTAATATTCCCCCTCATCTATAAAGGGGACCCTTGTCATTTTGTAAAGGCATTTGATACACAAGATACAATACACTATATTCAATACAAGAACATTCTCTGCTCTCTAGCTTGAACGCATTCTTTTGGTTTCTTTATTTACATTTATTACATATACTCATTGTGTTCTATTAATTGTTCTTCATTTATAGCTCATTATTGGTCATAAAGAGCCGCAATCACAGTTCTCATGATTGTTAATCCTTCATCGACTGCCCTTAACCGGCCATTTCGATTCGACCTCGAGGCCCCGTATACGCAAGCTCGAGGCCTCGATTCCCAGCTATTTCGGTTCGATTCTTAAGCCATCTACAAGCTATCATCTTAATTTCTAATCCTTTACTTAGCATTTATTGCCTTACAACTAGCATAAAAATAGATTACATATTTTTAGAACCACAAAAATCAAATCTAATTGTTATTACCATTTTCAAGGTAAATAGTTTGGCGCCCATCGTGGGGCTAAAAATAATAGTGATTGTTTTCTTGCTGGTTTACTACATAACGCAAGTTACCTTTCACACTTTTTCTTGTCCAAGATCTTTGATTTCAGGTCAAAATGTCTAACTCAGTTAACGCACGTGAAAACAACAATCTTGAGGACCATGGAGAAAATGGTGTAGCTGTTCCAGGTGTTGGTGTACCACGAAACCCTGGGGATGCGCAAGAACAAATTCCTGTGGACGCGGTCTCGCGCGACGCTCGACACGTCGAAATAAGCTCCCACACCAACAGGAGCATACACCAAGGAGATCAACAGGAAGCTCACAAAACCCCGGCTGAGGAAGAACAAGGGGTTAGTCTTCACGTCATTCGAGATGTTACAAGCACAACAGCTGGCGATTGCTTAGCTGCAAAGCCACCAGAAAACTCCCAGCACGGTAGCACGGGAAATGGCTCCCCAAGCCGAGCAGGTACCAAAAAGATCAAGCAACAACGGGTCGGCAGCCGACCTCGCCATCATAAAAATGCTCGAGGACCTCACGAAGAGGATCGAGTCGGGCGAGAAGAATATAGAAGGCAACGATAAGAAGGTGGAGACCTACAATTCTAGGTTCGATCAAATTCCGGGCGAACCCCGAATCTTGAAGGGTGTAGATTCGAAGAAGTTCACACAAAAGTCGTTCCCACAGGAAGCGGCCCCAAAACCCATCCCAATGAAGTTCAGAATGCCCGACCTTCCGAAGTACAACGGAACCTCGGACCCTAACGAGCACGTCACTACTTACACTTGTGCAGTAAAGGGAAACGACCTAAAGGACGACGAGATCGAGTCCGTCCTGCTCAAAAAATTCGGAGAAACACTTTTGAAAGGGGCCATGATGTGGTATCACAACCTTCCTTCAAACTCAATATATTCGTTCGCCATGCTGGCAGATTCCTTCATAAAGGCGCATGCTGGTGCCATCAAGGTAGCTACAAGGAAATTAGACGTCTTCAAAATCAAGCAAAGGGAGAACGAGATGCTGCGAGAGTTTGTATCTCGCTTTCAAATGGAACGAATGGAACTACCATCGGTCTCCGACGACTGGGCAGTGCAGGCCTTCACCCAAGGTTTGAACGAGCGAAGCTCGATAGCTTCGAAACAACAGAAGCAAAACCTAGTCGAATATCCCGCCGTGACCTGGTCGGACGTCCACAACCGGTACTAATCAAAGATCAGGGTCGAAGATGACCAACTAGGAGCTCCCTCGGGCTTGGTATATCCCAGCAGGCTTCAGATAAAGGAGCCAAAGCCAAACAAATAAAGATACCAACCCTACACTGAAGATAAAATAAATGCCCCGAGGCGCAATATACCCCGCAACGATAGAATGATGGATCGAGGCCAGAATCCTCGGGGTCCTGTGGGCCGAATTGGATTCGATAGGCACACAAGGCCGACAGAGGCACACTGCCAGTCGGAATACAACTTCAACGTCGACATTTCAGACATCGTATTCGCCATCAGTAAAATCAGAGACACCAGGTGGCCAAGGCCCGTACAATCAGATCCTTCGCAGAGGAACCATAACTTAGTGTGTGAATTTCACAACACACGGCCACAGGACAGAGGATTGCCGACAACTCAGCAAAGGTCACCTCCGAGAATTCCTCAGCGACCGAGCCAAAAATCAGTTTTAGGAAAGAGAGGCGACCAAGAAGAGTGAAACAGGAGAGCCACAACATGTCATCCACATGATCTTCGTAGGTATCGATGCTCCACAGGAACCCATGGTCAGGAGAAAAAAAATTAAATCACCAGGGAAAAGAGAACTCGAGGTTACATACCCGAGGATGCCCTCACGTTTAGCGACAAAGACATCGAGGCTCTATCTCATCCCCATAACGACGCATTGGTAATTTCTTTTCTTGTAAATACATTTCAAATTAAGCGCGTGCTTATGGATCCAGGTAGCTCGGCCAACATTATCAGGTCAAGGGTGGTGGAGCAGCTCGGACTGCTCGACCAAATTGCGCCCGCCTCTCGAGTCCTCAACGGGTTCAACATGACGATCGAGACAACGAAAGGGGAAATCACCCTCCCGGTCAACATGAACGGCACTACCCAAAATGCCAAATTCCATGTCATGTCATCGAAGGGGACATGAGATACAACGCCTTGCTCGGAAGGTCGTGGATACACTGCATGAGACAAGTACCATCCACCCTCCATCAAATGATGAAATTTCTGACAAAGGACGGGATAAAAACTGTCTACGGAGAACAGCATGCAGCAAAAGAGATGTTTGCGGTGCACGATGTGGCACCGGCACCAATACCTCCACCGCCGAAGGAGCCAAAGGATAAGCAAACAGTAAAATAGCAATAACTAGCTATATTCTCGGCTACATCTGACTAAACTAGCAAAGGACCGTGTCCTGAAAGCAACTGTTCGAAGCACATCGAGGCCTAAGGCGCCATTGG